AGGGCCAGGACTGGGGTGAGGCAAAAGAGGCACCAAGGGCACAAAATATGAAGAGGTCCTCACTCAGAGTTATGCAAGCAGACCGTATAAGTCTAGTCCCATTTCTAATAGCAAATATTCAAAATGCTTGACCTCAACTCAAGCATAAGATTGAGCAACTCCTTGTATTTTGTACCTTGTGAGCCTCTTACTCTAGTCCCTGCCATGCACGTAAGTGCACGTGTGCACACACACACACACACACACACACACACACACATTTTAGCAGCAGACGGGAAGAGGTATGACAAACAGTTCTATAGAATGATTGTCAACTACTTTATTTCTTCATCAATATGGAGAAATGACCTAATTACACTTAGAAAGTAAAAACAAACTGTTCTGTCTTCTGATAGGTGATAGGGAATGATAGAAAAATCTCTTTTTATGCAGACATGACCCCAGAATTCCCACATTAGAGTCCATAAGAACTGTCTAAAAAATTCCTATCCAGTGGCCCAGTGAATCTTCTGTACATCTTCTTACCACCAGCTTCAAGCTTCCATGTTTGTGGTGTTGAGTGTTGGCCTCTATCTACTTGAATTCATATATTGCTCCTTCTTGATGTTTCCCATTAGATTTAGAATTCAGCTCTGGACTTTGGACTTTGTTATAGGCCTAGAAACCCCCAAAGATGCTCCTTTTGGTTACTGACCCACAACCCTATCTCTGTGATTGCAAGCTACTAACTCTCCATGCCCACAATGAGCCCCTGGATGCCATTGGCCATGAAAAGGTGTTGGTGTGATGAAATCTGCAGGGATATTGCAGGGATTCTAGGGACAATACAGCACTTGAACATGCCCGTTCTCTTTGGCACATAGGCAGACAGCAACTGCTTCAGTAACAAAACTGAAGCATGACCCCAAATCAAAAATTTTCTTTTATAAGATACGATCAATATTCTTTCTAACTTTTGGGTTTGAATACAAAATTAACAGCTTACCCTTATTAAATTAGGCTTGTGCTCCACATAGACATGTAATATAAACCAAATCTATATGATAATGTTTCACCCAAACACTCATTCTTGCTTATGAGTTGAAGTAGGTCATTCTGACACGGGTAGACCAAAAGTCGCATTCATATTGCCATTTCGGGCCTAATTCTTTTTTTAAATAGGAAATTTCCTAAATTACACATTGGAAAAAATTTTATTCAATACTGAAAGCGGTTACTTCTTCATGTTCTTACAGAATCATATACTGAAATGCTGCATCTCAAAGTATTGACACTAGTTATAAATATGGCAAGCAAAGAGAAAGGATTCCTGGCATGGAAATCTGAAAACCTAGGCCTAGCCTCAGGTGTCCCAATAATTGTGTGTCTTCCATTGGATTTGGTAAATACATTTGTAAATTGAGAGAGATAAAACAACATAATCTCTAGGATACCATCACTTTAACATGTCTTGTTTCTTAATTTCTATCTAACATGTGTTTGTAAAAAGTACAACATTACATTTAGGACTAATTACAAATTCACTGCCCCATCACTGATACCAATATACTAAGGCATTTTAACTGTTGGATCATATACCTAATTCCCATAACTAGTATTGATTGAAATCTCACAAAATATGACTTCTTCTACACACCTCTTCTCAATATAATTTGCTCATCATTGCCTACTGGAGTAAATAAGACAGCACTTTATGAAACAAGAAAGGACATTGGTGAAAATATTTTTAGAAGGTTGCATTCATTTAATAAATTGTGTCTGCAAAGATAGCTTTTTTTAAAGCTGATATTGCTCATATTTTCTGAATAATTCAATAATTATTTTGGTATAACTGAGAACTCCATGAACTCCATGTATTTTTTCTTCACTGTCAGAAAGGGAGCTAAACTAGAGGGTGACAACTATTTCATTTGTATAAGCATTCTGTTCAGCAATGTGGGCAAAGACAAACTGACTCTTATAGGTTTCCGATAAATATCCTCTCAATTTGGTAACCACAGTCTACTCTGCTACACCCCCACACCATCTGTTTTTATCCTTATAAAAGGATAAAAGGTCTATAGGGTAGAAACCAAAACTTTCTGCAAATTCAAGGAGGATGTGGGAGAGAGAATTCAATCATGATATACTTGAAAAAATTGTTATAGATTGTCAGTATTATTAGATGGGTATATTAATCTGAGTTCTCTAGAGAAACAGAATCAATAGGGAATGAATGAATATCTATATATTCATATTCATAAATATATAATTTATTATAAGAAATTAACCTACATGGTTATAATGGCTAGGAAATGCTAAGATTTGTGGTAGGCAAGCTGGAGATCCAGAAAAGCCAATAATATAGTGCCAGTATGAATTCAAAGGCCTGAGAACCAGGAGAACCAGTGGTGTTAAATTCTAGTCCAAGCCAATCCTAAAGCATAAGACCAATGTCCCAGCTTGAAGACAGATAAGCAGAGAGAGCAGTATTCTTACTCAGCCTTTGTGTTCTGTTCAGACTTTGAACAGATTGGATGAGACCCACCCACATGGAGGAGGCCAGTCTGCTTTACTATGTCAACCAATTCAAATGTTAATTTCATTCAGAAACATAATCATAGACACACCCTGAATATTGTTCAATCAAATATCTGGGCATCTCATGGCCTCATCAAATTGGCACATAAAATTAATTATTGTAATGGCCCTTAACATTGTAGACTCCAGCCCTATCCATTTAGAGTGAAGAAAGCTGTATTCCAATGTTATAAAGTGCACAACTCATACAGTTAGTGGGAGATCCAGGATCGTAACCTAAGTCTTTATATTTTATGATATATATTGTGTTATTATATTATGTTTTCATTCACCTCTCATTCTACTATGCCACAGTAGTTTTTTTAACTACTTTAAATATGATCTTCTACATGCTAATGAATCCCGTGTGTGTGTGTGTGTGTGTGTGTGTGTACAGGGGGAGAATGTTCATGACTTAATAGACATGTAATCTTGAGAGCCATTAACATTTTTGAGCCTCAGTTTTGTCATTAGTAAATGAGGATAATAATTGTACCTACCTCATGAGTTTGTTGTCAAGATGAATTAAGTCAGTATGTACAGGTAAGCTCTGATAGTGACGAGAACACAGCAAGTGCTACCTAGGCATTAGCTCTTAGGATTGTTGTTGATATAAAACTTTATGTATTCAGGTTTCTCCTTATTCATCCCCTTGGCCCCATCCCCTTCTGCCCTCATCACTGGCCTGGTGTGTCAACTGGTTCCTATCTCTCTTTGATAGTGTATCTCATTCTGTAAGTGCTCAGGGATTTCACAATCAAACTTCAGAGCCACAACAAAGTACAATATGTCTGATATGTAATGGGCAAGGAGGAAAATGGTTTACACAAGTTAGGAGAGATAAGCAAGGTCCAGATCTGGCAGGAAGAGATGTTCTGTTATTACTATTCTTTGTTAGGTTTTGGCAAAACAACCAAACCAATGTGTACACCCACATTCACAACAGTCTTAAACTGTGCCATCCAGCAGCACACTCCGATGTGGGCATCATGTTCCAGATGCTGGTTGCACCTTAGATAGGTAGGTAAGCTGAACATCACAGTCATCAGGACTCCCTGTGCTTCCCTGTGTTTCATTTATATCATTGTGACCACTGGCTTCTGCTGAATCACCTGTTATGATGTTATTTACAACAAGCTGCTGATTAAAAACTGGTGAGGCTCCCTGAGTCCTGCAGCTGTCTCTAAGATTCTGCCCATGATCTGCACGGCTATGTGACTGAGTGCCTGTGATATGCATTATGTTGGGTGCTGTATATTTACATACAAGTCTTGGATTGGGTTTATTTTATGAACCCGCCCTTCTTTAAAATTATTTATTCATGAAACATTTAAAGTGCTTTTTTTCTCATCAATAAAGGTTTTTGAATATATATTTTCTAATTCTAATATATATAATATATCTTTTCTTCATATACATATATATATATACCCGAGAAAACAAATATGTCCATGTAGTGAAAAAGTCAGTGCTGTAATACCTCTAATGATAAATAGAACTATCACACCTGGGCATTGTTTATTGTAAGAAGTACATATAAGCTTCTCCCATGGCTCTCAACTTTTTGGGGATATTATCTTGCTGAAATTCTATATAAATACATTTATTTTAGAGGAAATATACATGTGATGTTCAGACTTCAATCAGAATCTTTTAACTTGTGACAATTAAGACCAATATACCTAAACACTTATAAAATAATACATGATGTAGTGATATGTCTAGTTTTGAGTGTGTTTTATTTAATATAGGTGCATATAATATACATGTGATATATGTGTATGCATATTTAACACACATAGACTTACACTACATGGCTAAATGATATGGTTTGCTCTATGGGTATACTGGAGTGTCCTCTGAAGTAAAGATTAGTGTCTATAGTGTGTATAATGTGTATAGTCAGAGAAATAAGTCGATCTTATTTCTCTTCCCCTGATGGAGGGATTAGATACCCTTAAAAGATGCTTATGGAGCTCCTTGTACTTCCCCTACCAGGGTCTTTAGACAATTATTTGTTATTTTCTGTTTCCTTCTACTCTTTGTTATCTTCTGTTTGCTTCCTTTTGTCTGACCAACAAGTATTTATTGAGCACTTACTTATGTACCAGAAATTCTGATGGACACCTGAATGAACATGGAAAATGTGGTTTATCCTCAAATTGCTAACATTCAGATATATAGTTATAGATGATAGAGATAGAGATATCTATAGATATAGTATATAGATATCATAGATATATATAGTTATCGGGAGTTACTATACACACACACACACACACACACACAGTGGGAAAGAAACCTTAAAGAATTTCTGGGTGGAATAGATGTGATCTTATTCACATTTTTAAAAGATTTCTTTTAATGCTATGTGAAGAATGGATTGAAAAGGGAGAAGAATGGAAACAAGAATGCTATAATAGTGTCTAAAGAAATAGATGATGGTAACTGAATTTGGTGCTGACGGTGGAGATAAGATCAAAATGGGAAGACTTCTTGAATATTTGGAGGCAGAACTGACAGAACTTGAGGATGGAATGGATGTGGTATATGAGGGAGAGAAAGGATTTACAGGTGCTCCCCAGATTGTTATCTCTTACAATTGAATGATTTGTAGTTCAATTTACTAAAATGAGAAGCTTAGAACAATAATAGGTTTAAGAATAGTCCAAATCTCAATTTTGGACATATTAAATTTGAGGTTCCTTTTAGATATCTCCTCGGAGGTTTCAGGTAGCAGTTAGATGCATGAGTCTATGGGACTCTGGAGACAGACTTGGACTGGAGGTAGACATTTAAGCAACATCAGAGTGTGCAAAGGCTGGTACTGGATCAATATTTCCTTAGAGACAGATTGAAAATAGAAAGTGTCTGGGAAGAAACCTTCAATCCCATCCGCATTTAGAAGTTGGGTGGAAGAAGAATCAACAAAGGAAATGAGAAGGAACATCACTAAAGTTGGAGAAAAGCTGGGAGAATATGATGCCACAGAAGCTAAGAGTAGAGCATTTCAGGAAGGAGATAGTTGTCAACTGTGCCAAATAGCTGCTGAGAAAGAGATGAGAATATGCATGTTTTTGTTGGACCCCCTCCCAACTTGGAGGTCATTGACGATCTGGACAAGATTGGTTTCTTTTAAGCCTAAGTGTCCATCAACGGACAAATGGACCAAGAAAATGTGGTTTATTTATATGATGGAATACTACACGGCAATGAGAAAGAATGAAATCTGGCCATGTGTAGCAACATGGATGGACCTTGAGGGTGTTATGCTGAGTGAAATAAGTCAGGCAGAGAACAAATACCTTATGTTTGCATGTATAGGAGGATTAGGAGGATCTTAATGGAGGACTGTGGGGGAGAATAAGGGGGGAAATGGTGGGGGAGGGAGAGAGAGGCAAACCATGAGAGACTCTTGAATGCTGAGAACAAACTGAGGACTGATGGGTGTGGGGGGGTGGAGCGGGGAGATGGGCATGGAGGAGGGCACTTGTGGGGATGAGCATTGGGTGTTATATGGAAACCAACTTGACAATAAACTATTTTTAAAAATAAATTGTAGAGCTCAAATTTAAAAAAAAAAGAAGATTGGTCTCTTTTAGTTGGGTCGGTGTCAGATGAGAGTAGTTGAAGAGTGAGCCAGAGATAAGGATTAAGCAGAGACAATAGAGGATTTGCTCAAAAATATTTCACATGATGGGAAACAAAGACATGGAGAAGCAGTACAGAGAGATGTGGACTCTATGAAGATTTGATTTTCCAATTAGCTTATATATATTTATGTACTTGTAGGAATAATCCAGTAATGAGGAAAGGGCTGATGACATGGAAGGAAGAAGCAGAAGAAAATTTTTGAGCATATGTCAGGAGATAAGAGCAAAAGTGCAGAGATTTGTCTTTGATAAGAACAGCAAAGGATGGGGGGGGGCAGAAATAGTGCCTTGCTAACTGTTTTATGCCCAATGTGTACAGTGCTTGGCATATATTAGAATCTCAGTAAGTATTTCAGAATGAATCAAGTAAACATCCACTGCAAGCCAGGGAAACAAAGAAGCAGCAGGCACAAGGAAAGAGTGAAAAGCAGAGAGGGACAGGACTTGATACTCCTTGATTAGTTATTTCTTATTTTATAATGTGTTCTTTGTCACCCTGACCAGACAGCTAAGTTACATTTCTTTAAATCGAGCTCAGTTATTTTAAATGTGAAGACACAGTCTATGTGGCATTTAATTTAGTTTTTAGGTTACTTAGCGTTTATTAGGATCTCCTCACAATGTGAATTCTCAAATGGTGTTTTCTATCTTACTAATTCATTTTCAGATCCACAGCAAGAGTCTAATAATTTGTTGATATGCATGTAATTGTCCTTATTTTCCTTAGTTTCCATGATTGCCTTCAGGGTTGATAAAGTTATTGATTATAATAAACCAAAACACACATTTACAAATCACACATCCATTTGGCCTTAAAGATCCATATTAGCACTTGGTAGGATTTAATTCACTGTTGATGTTTGTTTATAAGGCTATGAAAACTCTAAAAAAATAAAGTCTATATACTCTGCTGAGGTTCACATAAACTCACTTTTTTATGTCTGTCTCAGGATGTTTAGATGAAGTAGAAGATAGATGATCTATTATTAAAACTCTAATAAATACATTTTGAACACAGAGTACTCTAAATTGTCTTTGAAGATTTGTTCTTTAGCGATTGTCTTCCTCAAAAGACATGACAGCCAGCAATAGTCAAAAATTGAACAGTGTAAAAGAAGCACATCATCAGATAAGCTACATTTGCTTACCAGAAATAGTTAAGATTTTTGTTTTCTTTTTCTATCAAGAATGATTGTATTGATGTTAATAAATTACAAAACTTTATTATTGCATTTGGAGTAGAGGAAATGATGAGTTATGAGATTCCCATATATTTCTCTAGTTCAGTGCAATGCAGACAGAAATGATATATATATATACTCTAATGGGTTTATGAATAATGAATGTGCTGATGTATTTTTTATGATATGGTAATACAAAACTGAAAAATAATGTACTCGGAAGATTGCTGATGAGTTAATAACAAATGTGAATTTATTCTCACACATTCAGTGAGTGAAATTTTTATGTTATTTTATTCTAGACTTACTGTGAAATTTTTATTTGTAGCTTGTTAGGAAATCATTAAAGATTGATCTCCTCTCTTATTATTCTGTACTGAAGCTATTCCAACGCCTTGATGATTTATTTGAACTTTCTTGAGACTTTGAGTGATACTAACAGTCACCATCTTTAGAACTAATTTCAGCCTAGGGAATAGGAAATTTAACTTAATTTAAATCAAGAACTGGTGTGTGTAACAAAAGAGCCCCTGAGGAAGGGTCGTGTAAGCTGAGAACTGAATGATGACAGAGTAAAGCAGTTGCAAAGTGACAAAAAGAATAGCATATTGGAGTATGTGGCATCCCTAAAGTCAAAAGAATCTCATATTGCTCTAGCAATGTGGAGATTACTGGTGATCTCCCTGCTGCCCACCTCCCCATACATCAGCACTGACTATTAACCAGATCGTCAGCCTTCTTCAACTTTCTTACCCTGATATTTGCAGAGAAGTCCCACAAGACATTGGCTTTCTCATACACACAGTTCTTTTCATTTTGTATAATGCATAGGAGAGAAAGAAGTCTCCTGCCCTGGCTCACTGGGGTCACGTGTTCTGGAGTCTCCGGTATCTCAGTTGCCATAGCTGTCAGCAGTGGTGACATCTGCCTGTGCCTGTATGAGGCTTCCAGGACTGATGCTGGTGCCATTGATACCTGCACCAAGGACACTGTTCTCTTATTGCTGCTGAGTCTCCTCATTGAGGACCCGTGTGCACGGACAAGCTGACTGAGCCCTCCGTGGGCTGAACTCTGCTCTGTACATCACCGAAGAATAGGGATCTCTCTCCTGCCCTCCTTATGCCATTCTTGTGTGCTCCTTGGTTTTGTATGTGCCCAAAATTATGTTTTGTTTTGTTTTTCAGGCTTGCCTTCTCCAGAGTTCCATTTTGAGTCTAGACCTCCTCTTCCATTTCACTTGAGTCCATTGTCCTTAAATCCCTCTTTTGAGAACCAGTCTTCAATTTCCTTAGCAGAGTTTTCTTCCCAACAAGGTCCTTAGTCTCTCATGTAAATAGATACATAGTTCTTTCCAGGCCACAGATGTTCTAGTTATGCCAGATTTCCTGAATCCCCAGCTGGACACACCATGGTCATTCTCATGTTACTTCTATACTTTTGGCAGCTTATGTTTTTCAACAAATGTCTTTTACAAAAGGTTTTGAAATAATGTGATTACATGTGAATTTTGAAAATTCTTTGTTTGATTCCAGAATCTTCATTTAGTCCTTATGAAGTCACCTAGAGACAATGTATCTGATTAAACTAGCCATTCCCATCTCCCTCATCCCTCTAAACATTAACTAGTTCATTAGTAAGGAAATATAATTAACTTGTGATATATTATAGGAGTTGCTATGTCTATAAAATTCAGTGTAAATTATAAGTTAAGTAAAATGTCAGTAAAGTTCACCAAGAAACAAAGCCTCATTTTCCATACTAAGCAGAGTGAGTCTAGCCTTTGCTTGCCTTCTGCAGAATGTACACATGGCATAATAGGACAATTGGATTTAGAATTAGAAGCCCTGGGTAAGAGGCCTACTTTTGCCACTTATTCATTGTCATTTAAGTTTTTTGAATTTAAGTTTCCTTATCTGTGAAATAAGGCAAAACTATCTGGCCAGCTTAATGATAAAAATATAAGGAGTGGTAACATTTATTGAATGTGTACCAGGTTCCAGGCAGTGTGCTAAGCATGATAGAAGCTTTATCTCAATTAACCCCCCCAACAACCTCCAAGGAAGGTATTTAAGAAAATGACCTTGAACACAAAAACCTGCATGATGGTGTTTAGAGCAGCTTTATTCATAACTGCCCAAACTTGGAAGCAACATAGATATGCTTCAGTAGGTAAACAGATAAATAAATTTTGGTACAGCTAGACAATGGAATATTATTCAATGCTAAAAAGTGGTGGGGGGGGAGGGGAGTCATGAAAAGACATGGAGGGAAGTTAAATTCATAATACTAAGTGAAAGAAGCCAATGTGGGATTGGCTTCTATAATTCCAACTCTATGATATTCTGGAAAAGGCAAAACTATGGAGACAGTAAAGAGATCAGTGATTGCCAAGGGTTCTGGAAAAGGAAGGGTGAATAGATGGAGCAAATATCCTATGATACTGTAACAGTGGATATATATCATCATACATTTGTCCAAACCTATAGAATGTACAGCACCAAGAGTGAGCACGAATGTTAACTATGAACTTTAGGTGACTATATGTGACAGTTTCATTCATTGTAACAAAAGTTCCACTCTGGTGCAGGATATTGATAATGGGGTGGGCTAGCATGTGTGAGGGCAGGAGGTTTATGGGAAACCTCTTTACCTTCCACTCAGTTTTGCTGAGAATCTAAAACTGCTCTAAAAATAAAAAAAAAGTCTTAAAAT